CATCCCTGACATCTTCCAGCTCCTGTCCACACTCATCTTCTGAATTGCAGACTCAGGTCCGGCTGGTTACTGGGACATCCTTCTGGGTGACCCAGGGTGACCCCATGGGCCCTCGCCTCCTGGTGTTCATAGCCCTGGGCAGTCTCATCCCCCTGAGTGTGTGTGACTTGCTTCTACCCACTGGAATGCCACAGAGGTGATGGGATGTCCTATCACATGATGTAAGACTCTGGAGCTAACAACCCCCTCACTGGTTGATGAAGTACATGGCCATATAGGAGAAGCCCATGTGGCCTGTAGGAGCTGAGGGTGGCCACCAGCGGACAGGCCACCAAACCAGACCCTCCCTCATCTGCCGATGACCTGAATGAGTTTGGAAGTAGTTCCCCAGTCTGGGCTTCAGTTGAGAACACAGCCCAGCCAGCACTCTGATCGCGGCCTCGTGTGACCCTGAGCATGGGGCCCCAGCTAAGCCATGCCTGGACTCCAGACCCACAGAAACTGGAAGGTGTTAAATGTGAGCTGTTTCAAGCCACCACATTTGTAGTGATTTGTGACCACATCCCAATGGCTGCCAAGCTGCTCAGATCTGACGCACATCAGACTGAACCCTATAGCTTTCTCAGCCCCTCCACACCTGCTCCTCCCACAGGCTTCCCCACCTCAGGCAGCACCTCCGTGTTTGTGATCACTCGGACCAAAATCCTTGGGGTCCACGTGACCCCTTTCCGCAGCTGTCATCAGTCTGCCTGGGAGTGGTGCCACCCCACCCCCAGAATATATCTAGAATTGGCCCACTTCTGCCATGCCTGCTCTGCGTTAAACAGAGCACCACTGAGGTCTTGTCGCAGAGCTGGCTGCTTCCATCCTCAGCAGCTAAAAGCTGACTCTGGCCATGACCCACCTCTGCTCAATCCTGCCCATAGCTTTCACTGAGGGCAAAATGCCTGCAAGACCTGATCCCACCCATTCTCTGCTCTCTGTCCTCAGCTCCTCCTCCTTCCTCCCTTGCTCCAGCCACAGGGCCTCCTCATTGCTCCTCAAACATGCAAGGCCCAATCCTGCCCCAGGGCCTTTGCATCTGCTGTGCCTGCTGCCTGCAGTGCTTATTTAGGTCCTCAGGGCAGATGCCTCCACTCCTGCTTCCACGTCCCCACTTCATCTGTTTTTTCCTGGATTGTGCAAGCTGCACCCATGGGCATAGACCGCAGGATGGTTTCCACCAAGGTGCTGAGCCTGGATGTCCGTGGGTCCCTTTGGGAGAAGTGGAAGCCAGGGAAAGAACAACTGGCACGTTCTCTGCATTCTTTAACTCAATCCTGCCCGAGACAACAGTCCTCTCACTCCACAGTCTGGCTTCACAGCAACAGCTGGGATGTAGCTCCTCGCGAGAGTGAAAATCGGCTGGGAAAAGTGCCACAAATAAGTAAACAGCATTTTCCACATGGCAGGCCCTGCACTAAACAACTGATTTATTACCCCTTCCGATGGGACCGGCTGTGCCTTGATGGAAGAAGTGGGGAACTGGCCCCGGACCACAGGACGTGGCAGCTCTACACGTGTCCCCAGTTACTTGCCGCTCCGTTCAGTGGTGGAGCCTATTCACCTCCCTCTGGGCGTGAGCTGGCCCCCACAACTCGCTCCTAACGGGGAGTGTACCAGAGCGATGGACCGAGGCTTCGGAGGGCAGCCATGAGAGGTATGTGGCCGCCGCCAGGCTGTCTGAGGCCACTTGCCGTGAGGATGCTCACACAGCACTGTGCAGAGGCCTAGAAGCGGCCCCTCCGGCCCCGGTGGGCAGGGGTGGGGGGCACTTTACATGAGGCCACCCGGGCTAACATCCACACTGCAACTTCTCGGGAGACCCCGAGCCGGGACCACCTAGACGAATTATCCACAGAAACCGTGGTACAACAGATGTGTGTGTCTATCTGTTTGTTTTTTAAGTAAACCCTGCCCCCAACGTGGAGCTCGAACTCACGACTCTGAGATCGAGAGTCACACGTTCTACCAGCCAGGAGCCCCTAAGAAATGCTTTAATCTGCTAACTTCTGGAATAACGTGCTACGCATCATCCAATCAGCACTGTGCAGGCGCCGGCCTGTCTGGCGTTCTGTCCTCCCGCCAGGCTCCACAGTTTGCCGTTGGCGGCCCGTCTGGCCTCCTTCTCTTCATGCCCCTCGGCCCCTCATCCTTTCTGCAGCAGCCAAGGGCCCGCCGCGAATCTTCCAGCGGCCGCTTGGACCAGCCGGTTGAAGCACTGGTCCAGCCTCCCCAAGGGGAAGGAGAGCGCTGGGGGCCACTGTTTCCGAGCAGGGTCAACTGTCCACTTCAGTAAACCCCAAAGGGCTCCTCACCTTGGACCCCTCAGCCCTCTGAGACGCCGCGGGCTCTCGGGCCCGTGCATCCCACTCGGCCCGTGGAACAGGCATCCCTTGTCCGCCCTGCAACCTCTCCTGTTTCTCCCCCGCTCCTGGGGCTCGGGCCTCGCCAGGAAATTCCCCCTCCTGCCGCCCCCACTGCATGAAATAAATCACTCAGCAAGCTTACAGGAAATTTAATAAGCTCGGGCTCTTTTTTTCCCTTTTTGTCTGTGGACTTTTTGTTAGGTTTTCATGGGAAGAGGTGTTTGTGAGAAAACTGTTTGCAGTGATGATATCGTGTACTCCCCATAGTAACACGTACAGAGGAGCTGGGAGTCGGGGACCCCGCAGGGTGCCAGGCGGGGGGCTGATAAACACGGGTGGTACCCAGGAAAGCGGATAAAGACTCGGAGATTAAAAAAAGAAACCTCCAACCAATTAGGACTTGTGTAATTTAAAATTAATACAGGTCCTAAGATGGCATCCGGGGTCTCAGACTGGAGCTTGGGGCACTCGGGGAACCGGGACAAGGTCGCCGAGAGCGTTAGTTCTGGGGGTGCGGAAGGCTTTCACACGGGAAGCTTGGTGCGGGGTGTGTGGGGACCCTCCGTGCCATCTGTGCAATTAAAATGATTCCAAAATTGTTGTTTTTAATGAAAAGAGGTAAAGTAGGAAAAACAGCAGAGTCGTATGCAGGCGTGAGCCAACGCCCCAGAATGTGTTAAAATGCATAGCTGGGGACAGCCGTGTCGCCATCCCCGCATCTGCAGACGAGGTGTGCTTATGGCAAGAGGGGCCGCCACGCGCAGAAAGGTCCTGCCTGACACTGGGTGGGGCTCACAGCCTCCAATTAGGTAATTCAGCCCTCCCAGGGACCCCGGGGGAGGGGGCAGCACGAGTACCCCATCTTACAGTTGAAGAAACCGAGGCTTGGAGAGGCCCCCTCTGTGTGTCTGTCTCCCCTCCTCCTCACACACGGTTCGCGCTTACACTTCCACGTTTCCCCCACTTGGCTGGTGGCTTCTCTACCACGAAATGGGCCGCTGCTGTCCAGGCGAGGCCGCCGAGCTGCGGAGATGGGGCACCAAGGGCTCTCCACGCTCATCTCCCGGTGCCCCAGCCCCGCGCCTCGCTCAGAACCACCCAGCCGCGTCCACGCGCACCCTGCCTGCCTCTCCTTCCTGGTCCCACACAGAGGAGGGCAAAGCCCAGACGGGCGCATCCGCTTCCCCTGCCTCTGTTGTCCTTCTCTGGGATGCGCAGGACTCACCCGGACACGGCCAGTCCACTCGGCCTTTCCCGGGTCCCCCCCAGGGCCTCGGCTCGGCCACCGCGTCAAGCAGTCCACGGACAGCAGTGATCGCGGGAGTACTAGGATTTTCTCTCTTCAGGCCACTCGACGCAGGTTGTTCCCAAGAGGAGTCCCCAGCCTGAGCCAAAGGCCACCCAGCACACCGTCCAAAGACCCTCGCACTCTACACTGCACACCCCGAACACTCATGATTCTGCAGACGAGAGAACTTTGCACAACACACACGCTCGTCAGGCGTGGGGCTCAAAGCCGAACGGGCGGCAGGGCTCACGGCTTCGACTACGCACCGCGGTCGGCTCGGCGCCCAAGTCTCGACCCCCGGTTTGGTGGGACAAGAGGGCTGTGTGTTGCAGCGTCTCTGGGGGGACTGCCGTTGTCCAGCCATCAGGTCCGCGTGAGTGACGGCGACCCCATGTTCCAGACACTGGTGAGTTCACACACACGCTCCCGTACACACGACCCCGGACAACCACGTGCAAACTCATACAATCTCCCACACGCGGTCCCACACTTAGCGACACACACAGCCGCCCCACAACCACACACACGACTAGACACCACCTCACACGTGGCGAGGGGCCACAGGCAGGCAGGCTGTGTAGGCTCTGGGTCCACGGGGCCCACACCCTCATGGCCATGTCCTGGGTGCAGATGCACAGAACACGAGTCCACTTACCTGCCAGGTGCCCAGAGGCTTTCCCTCCACATCCCAGAAAGTGGACACTAAATGGGGCTGGAGGGCTTGTGTTTGATGTGAACACAGGGTCCCCAAAGCTCCGACCACCGCCAGAGACCACGCCTTCCCCCGCAGGGTCCAAGGAGCGTGGGGTTGGCCCCTGAGATGGGGGATGGAGGAGGAGGGCCCTGCCCCCCCATCCTCCGCCGGTTCTTGGGCAAAGCAGGACTGCAGAGCCCCGATGACAGCCCGCCATGGGTGCCAGGCTGGCTTTCCTGCCACACATCCTCCCCCAGTGTCAGGCCTTCTGACCGCACCCCTCCCAGGGTGGCCCCCAGCACCCTTGAGACGGGTGCCCCCTGGGCACGCAGATGCTGAGGGCCAGGCAGGGGACGCAGAGCGGCCCTGACCCCCGGGGCCTGCCGCACCCGGCCCGGCTCCGTCCGGCTTAGCGGGGACAGGGCGGGAAAGCGCGCTCGGGGGTGGGAGCGCCTGCGGGGGACCGGGAACGCGACGGGCCCGGCCTCCTCCGCGCACCCCGGGGCGTCCGCTCCGCCCGTCCAGCCGGCTACACAGCGGCTCTGCCCGACCCGCGAGCTGCGGCGCGGAGAGGGGCCGCCCCGGCCCGTTCCCCGAGACCCCGACTCACCGCGCTCCGCCGAGGCCGCCGCCGCCGCCGCCGCCGCCGCCGGAGCCGCCCGCACCAGCGAGCGGGGGGCGGGGCCGGGGCGGGGCCGGGGGCGGGGCCGCTGCGGCCTCCGCACCTGGTCCAGGTGGAGGGCAAGACCCGGGCAGGTGAGCCCGGACGGGGGGCACGACCCTGGGGAGACAGCTTGGGGATGGGGGTGTGTGTGAATAAGGACAGTTTAAAAAGTAAACTTGTGGAACAGCTTTCCATTTACAGACAAGGTGTGAGATGGTCCTTTGCACCCAGTTTCCCACCTAATGCTCGAGCCATACACTGTCACAACGCATGAGCCAATACCGACACATTATTAGCCAACATCCACCCTTGATTCGGATCCCCGGTTTCCCTAACGCACTCGCTCTGTGCTCGCGGCCCCTCGATCTTGATGCCGTGGGCTGTCGGGGAAGGCCAGGAGGGGTCTGTGGGACGCCCTTCTGCTGGGGTTTGCTGTGCTTCTCACGGTCAGGCTGGGGCAGTGGCTTGGCCTCGGTTTTGCAGCACCTGCCACAGCCACGCGGCAGCCCAGCCTCCCCACCCCCCACCCCCCGCTTACCCCCTCCACGCCCGCCCAGGAGAACACACCCTTCGTTAGAACCATCACCTTCGCTCAAGCCACTTTGGGGGTATTTTCTGAACTGCCTTCAGGGACCAGCTGTCTTACGACCAACGTTGGCAACATCTTCAGGCCTAGGTGGGGACCTCTGTGGGAAGCGCTAGAAGCCACGGGGAGCCAAGCACGGCGCTGGAGAGGGAGCAGTCCCTCCGGGCGCCAGCTGCCTGCCGTGTGGCCCCATCTCCCGAGCCAGGCCCTGCAGAAGCAGCTCTCGTGCTCAGCCCCAGAGGGAGGGGAGTGACACGACCAAGGCCACTCAGCTCCAGCATGCAGCCAGGACTCCAGAGCCAGTGGGCTCTTCCCACTGCTGCACCCGTCCCTGAGCGGGGGCACTGTTTGTGGGGGGACCCTCCTCTCCCCACAGGGCAGCCACCGCTGGGCTCTTTCTAGGACTCTTGCCTCCCAGCCCACTGGTGACATGGGCCATGCCTTCCCCATGTGTCCAGCGACCCCTGCCCTCCCACCAGCCACGCTCATCTCCCCACTGGAGGCCCCACCTGCTCCCCCACGTACCCTCCCTGACACCTGCCTGCCCCCGAAGACAGAGGCAGGTGTGGACCCGTGTCCTGTCCTTCCTCCCCAGCTCCCCAGGCTCAGCCGCCTGGGGCAGAGTGGGTCTGAGCCTCACACACGTACCCCCAGGTGGAGTCAGGGGCACACAGCAGGTGCTCAATGAAGACGGATGGAATGAATAGTTAATGAAAACTATGTAAGCCCTGCGACTCAGGAAAACAAAACCGCTGTCCTCACAGCACTGTTCCAACTCTGCAGTCCCACGTCCACGCAGAGCTGTGCCCCACCACACAGAGCAGGAACTCGGTCTCCCCAGCGCCAACTTGTGCTACCCCTCCCCGTGGACACAAGCGCATGGGGCCCCCCTCCTGGGCACCCGCGCGTTCGCCACCCTCACGATGGCGTGGCCCAGCACCAGTCCGGGGCGAGCAGGGCCGGCGGGCCAAGGCGTGCGCCACCAGAGCCCCCGGGCTCTGCGGCCTGGCTGGGGACCCTCGGTGCGCAGTGCCGAGCACCCGGTCTCGGGGTGGTCTTGGAGGAGTCGATGTGTCTCTGCATCTCCGTCGGCCCCATGCGGCCTAGTGGAGCGGCCCTGGAGACACGCCTTCTCTCCCACGGAGGACAGCTTGGTGGCCACCACCGCAGGTGGCAGGGCTGGGGGGCGACCTTCGCAGGCGCTCACTAAGGGCTGCACCTTTTTGACTAGGTGAAAACTATCCAGGGGAGGCTATTCCATGACCTGGGAAAACCACGTGGGACTCCACATCTCCATGTCCAGCAGCGTCCTGGCCGTGGCCGCGCCGAGTGCTGGGGCGAGCCCAGCCGCCGGCCAGCTAGCTCTTCACACCAAGTCCACGGGCCCGCGACAGGCTGCCAAGCTTCCTTCGACTCTCACACGCCGCGGATGGGGACCCAGCCCCGCCGGGCCGCCGTGGACTCGCTCCCACACCTCGGCGCAGCCGACCCTGCCGGCCGGGGCCACAGCACGGAGGAGACGAGGGCCAAGCAGCAGCTCTCAAAAGCTGTGTTTAATTGTAAGACTCAAACAGGAGCGAGCGGAGACTGCACGCGGAAACCCCAGGAACGAACACCCGCCTTCGAACGCCCCGGCGCTTGTCAAACACGGAAAACGGAGAGATTCTGGCTCCTACGCCAACGTACACAATGGCTTCGAGGGACGTGCGGGTCGACGTGGGGACGGTCCGCTCAGACCCTGCACCCCGGTCTGGCCTCCCCGTCGGGCGGCTCCCTGGGGCCGGCTGGTCTCCCTCCCGGGTCACCTGCTGTTTTAAGAGACACACAAACAGGTGGAAGACGTCTTTTTTTTTTTGGAATAAACATCATTCCTCCTTAGAGCAGCATGGCTAACAAAGGCTGTGAGTGAGTCTGTCTGGCGCTGGTATTTTTTGGAATGGATCATGGTTGACCCCGTGCCTGCTGTCTGCAACTGAGCAGCAGACAGACGGGGGACAGAGCTGGGCCGCGTGGCCGGGGGGTCTGTTCCTTCACGTCACGTCAGTGGACACAGCTTTCTGGGCTTGAGGCTGGAGGCTGCGTGGACCGGCGTGTGCCACGGTGTGGGGGCCGCCGCCCCGCGGCCAGTCCTGCTGCAGCATTCCCGTCGTGACGTTCGCAGAGCCCTGTCAGTGAGGTAGAAGACAAAATGCCAGTTCCAGAATATTCTCCACATTCTAGAAGCTCCCAGGTGGTTTAAATAAAAAGTGCGCTCGCCTGGCCAGTGTTGTTCCCAGAGGCCGGGCTGGGGTGGGGTTGGGAGCGTGCAGATGTCATGAGGCGGGTGGGGGCACCCCCCAGTCCCTCTAACCCGAAAGAACGGAGCTGACGGGAAAGACGCAGCCCCGTGAACGGGGCGCCCAGCTGCCCCGACGAGGGCCGTCCCAGAGACTCAGACCCAAGAGGCGACACCACCCGAGTTCAACAAGTCGTGGCCGTTTATTAGCAGGCGGCGAAGCTGGACCACAGATGCGGGCGGCCCGGGCGGACGGAAGAGGCTCCTGCGCGGCCCCCGCCGACCCCGGCCAGCCGGCGGCACGCACACCAGCCGGGCTGCACTACGGGGCTCTGCCGACCGGCGTCCGGCCCAGTGTGGCGCGGGCGACCACCTGAGGGAAGCGGCAGCGTGGTAAGCACCAGATGTGGGCGATCTGTAGCCGTGGGCGGTCGGAGGTGGCGCTTCCTGCCCTTGCCAAGGAAACACCGAGTTGACAGGCAGGACCGTGGAGCTGGACGCTCGCGTGACGCGGATGGTGACGTCGTGGGCCAGAGCGGGGCAGGGGCTCGTGGCAGCCACGCGAGCTGGGAGCGGGGCTGGAGAGGGTCCGGGCTGCAGCTGGGCTCGGCTCGAGGAGAAAGAGCGGGGACATCGGCCAGACCGGAGCACCAAGTTGGGGGCCGGGCAGGTCCAGTCTCGGGGTCTCTCGGCGTGGCGGGACAGCCCCGAGGGCCTGAGAGTCTGCGCCACCTCCTAGGCCGAGGCGCCTACCAGGCTCGTGGGCTCGGGGGTGGGGCCTGCGGGGCTTGTGGGCTCCTGCGGGGGGGCTCCGGCCCCCATCTCCTCGGGCGCAGACACTTCCGGGGGCTGCTCCGTGGGCGGGGGGCACTTGGCCAGTCCTTCGCCTGGAGGCGGCTGGGGGAGGCCGGTGTCGGAGTCCTTCCGAGGCTGCGGGTCCTCGGCTGCAGATGGCGCCCAAGGAGACTGAGGTAGGTCCTTCTGTAAGAGAGGCCGCAGTCAGGTGTGGGGCGGGTCGGGAAAGCCTGGGGGGCAGCCTAGGGCGGGAGGGCAGAGGAGTCAGCGTCCCTGGAGGGTCCAGCTCCAGGCCCAGGAGCCACCTTCCCTCGGGACCACCTACGACCACCAGCAGGCGGGCCACGGGATGGCCACCCAAGGTAGAAACCCTGGCTCTGACGTGTTTGGCTCGTTCCCCACCTCCTGAACCTTCCAGAACTAAGCTACCTGCTCTGTGGCAAAGCCAGCGCTCACTGGGACTGAGACCCTTTGAGGACGGTAGGCAGTGAAGCCGGGGTGCTTCCCCGAGGGTCCGGGGGAGGGCGAAAAGCCCCATCACCGGGTTACATCGTCTGGTTAATTAATGGGGTGCCCTGGAGCCCCACTCCGTTCAGCGTCTCTAGGCCGGGATGGAGAGGATGCATGTTTCCACTTCCAAAACACGCTCAACAGGCTCCGCCCTGGGGGCCGCGGGTCACACTCGGGAGATGCCTAGGGCCCTTCGGAGCTCCCGCCACGGAGGGGCTGCTCCCCGTGATTCACTGACAGGCAGCGGGAGGAGGTCAGCACAGCCTGGGGCGCGGACACACGAGACCTCGTGCTTTCACATCGAACGCACGATGCTACGGTACGAGGGGCCTCCAGCCCCCTCGTCTGGTGCAAAAACCGGCAGCACCAAGATGAGCGCCGTGAGCCCACCCTGGAGAGGAGCTCCGGGGCCCTGAGCTTGCGCCGCATCCCTGACGGTGGGAACAGCCGGAAGCCAAGGTCCAATCCGATGGGGTGTTACCGCCCCTTGGGACTGGCACTGTGCTCAAGCCACACCCAAAGGGACAGAGCCACAGGGACACGACAGCAAAGCAAACCTCGTGGGGACGGGGAAACACTGAGCACGGGACACGGGCTGTGGGGTTTAGTCGTGAAACCGGAAGGTTTTACTCAACTGTAATTCTAGTTAGGGCTTATGGGGTTATTACCGCTCGCAGACAGTCATAGCAAACTGGTATTCACCGCAAAGCCGCTGCCCGTCCAGAACATGCCCAGCTCCCTGCGCCAGAGCGCCAGGGCGCAGCTTGTCACCAGCGTGCAGGGCACCAGGTAGAGGAGAGCGGGCTGGCCGCGCTGCATCAGGGCCAGCGCCATGAACGTCACCAGGAGGCCGATGCCGTAGGCTGCGGAGAGACGGGCCGCGCGTCACCCCGGCTGACGGCCCCGCACCCCCGCCGTGGGCACGCCGGAGCGGGACCGAGGAGCACCCGGGACCGGGGAGGCGGAGCGCCGGACGGGCACACGGGGAGGGCTGCACGCGCACGGACCGGCCGGCTTCCTCCGGACGCACGGTCCCGCCCGGCCGCGCTGGGACGGGCAGGAGGCCGGCGGGGGCGACAGTCGGGCGGCGGCGAGGCCCAGGCTCCGGACCCAGAGAGGCCGCTAGACGAAGGCCTGTGACCGCGCCTGACTGTCCCGTTCTCTAGGCGTTCAGGTAGAAAGAGAATGCTGCACGCAAGCAACATATGCACAAAATCAGGAAATCCAAACTTCGGTGAGCGGCCCGTGGGGGTACAGAAGGGCACCTCCGCTCTCGTGAAACAGCCGGGAGGCGGTGAGGGGTGAGGGGGCCGGCTCTCTGTCCGGCACGAACACGGCGTGTGGGCTCCCCCACAACACAGCGGCTCCCCGTCCTGACCGCGACCTCAGGGACCTCAGGAAGGAGCTACGAGAAAACAAACCTTCACAGCTGGTCTCTAGCACCTACTTCCGCCCGCAGCTCCTGTCTGGTCCTCACCTGGCGCTGCGGGGGGAGAGCGCTGTTGACACTTAGCCCACGTCCTAAAGAAGTGGTTCAACAGAAGCCAACTACGGAGGAATAAAGGCGTCTGCTGCCGATAAGAGGTGTGCGGTTTCGACGACAAGGAACTACAGAAACCACCTGACAAACGGGGCCGCACACAGAACCCCCGCAGTGGCACTTCAAGGACCATCGCGAGGACGCAAAGCCCAAGGGGAGGTCCAGGGATGGCGAGGGGGACGAGGGGGCGTGCCCGCACCTGCAGGAGCCAGGGTGGGAAGGGGCAGACGGTGCCGACCCCGAAGTGCACCCGGAAGGTCAGCCTGGGTCGCCCTGGGGCCTCCCCTCTGCCGGGCCTGGCTGCCCCCCCCACGCACGACAAGGGGGTCAGAACGCCTCCCGCCTGGTGGGGGGGAGCACGCGTGCACGCCGACAGGCGGCATCGGGTGAGCTCGCGGCTCCTCCTGGAGGGCTGGCCAGAGGCGGGCAATCCAACCGCTTTGCAAAACGTTAAAAGCAATCGGGGCCCCACAGAAAAGGTCACTTCTGCGTGAACGGCTTTGGTAACCAGAGAAACAAGCGGGAGACGAGGACAGAAGAGGAAAGAAAAAGAATACGAGGAAGGACACGCGACCTCAAGAGTCGTGGGGACACAAGAGGAAGGGCGCGAGGCGAGCCCGCTTCCGGGTCCGGGCTCAAGGGCGCTTACCCACGGTGCAGGCCACGAAGTAGACCCTGGACGACTGTACCTGGATGTCGAATCTGTGGCAATATGCCACGAGCAGGCCTGCGGGGAGAAGGGCGTGGGCCGGGCGCCGTGAGAGCGTGCGCCATCCCCGCTCCTCCAGACGGCCGGCCCACTGGCCAGCGGCCAGGTACAGACCCCTCGGTGCGGAGGAGGGCCCAGCACAAGGGCCGCCACGAGCAACACAGGAGCCCGGGGGGCTGCCCGCCCCCGCCTGCTCCACTCCGGCTGCACCTGCCGGCCACCCTGGCCAGACGCTCCCCGGGAACCCACCCCAGCGTGGCGCGCCCCAGTACCTGGCACCAGGATGTCCCCGAAGCCCAGTAGGGAGAAGGGCCGGTCACACAGGGCCAGCGGCGAGGCGTTCAGTCTGGGCACCTTCAGGACCATGGGGAGCTGGGGGGCGAGGGGGCAGCAGGCTCCAGGACCGCCTGAGCCCCCCTTCCCCCGGCAGCGCCCCGGCCGTGGGCCCGCTACGTACCTTCTCGTGGGTGGCCGAGTCCGAGGGCCCGGTCGCCACCTCCACCATGATGCTGTTCCCGCTCTAACAAAGGGGGGACCGCGTCAGAGAGGAGGGAGCGCGGGGCGGGGGGTGCGGCAGCGGGGCGCGGGCGGGGCGCCCACCTTGGTCAGGAAGGGCGTGATGAACACAAAGAAGACGTCGTAGACGAACAGCACCAGCAGCAGCAGCGTGCAGGCCTGGGGAGGCGAGGTCCTGATGGCCGGCGAGGTGCCGGCAGGCACACAGACCCCAGCACGCGTCCCACCCCTCACGCCCCTCACAAGGCTCAGGGGTGCCACTGGGACAAAGCCGCAAGGGGACATCTGCGCAAACCCAGTCCCGCCCCTGGCACCACGAGGTCAGGCTCGCGAGGTTTCTGGGGGACGGTCACACGCTGTGTGACCGGTCGCCGTGGATGTGGGGTGCCGAGCCCGTCACGGCTCCCCGCATGCTCCTCCTTGGGGACGACGGCCTGGGGCCTCGGCTGGGGGCCGCCGACCGCACCTGCCTGCCCATGTGAGTACCCCCCCCCCCGGGAGGGTTCCGGGCCTCCTCACGGCCCGGGGGTCACTGGCGTGGCTGCCATGCTGGGAGGCGGGTCTCAGCGGCCCCTTAAGCCCTGTCACTGGGGAGGCGGCGGGAGAGACCAAGGCACAACGACCACGCTGCCCACGGAGGGCAGGGACGCCCGAGCACAGGCGGGTGAGGGCAGGCCTGAGCCGCTCGAGGCACGCGGCGGACACGGAGGAGGCCCTCAGGATGCCGCAGCCCACGGCCCCACGTCCTGGGGCTCTCACCTTAAAAGTGGGGAGGCGGATGGTTTTCAACATGTACAGGCAGAAGGCGACGCCCAGCGCGTCCTGAAGGATCCAGGCCCACCTGGAAGGCAGAGCGGCGGTCACCCGCTGGGGCAGGGGCTCTGCCGGTCGCTCCTTCCTCCGCTGCTGAGTTTCCCGAGCTGCCCCCGCCCAGCCCGACCCTGTCACGCTGTGACGCCCCGGGCGCGGGCCCCGAGGAGGGCAGGCAGGGCCCCTCGCTGTGCTGGGCACAGGTGGGGCAGCGACCGCCGACCCCGACACCGCAAACACATCATGGGGCGGGCACGGGGGCGTCGTGCAGCTACAGGACTCAAATCTCTCTTCAAAACTATTTTTTACACAATTTAGAAAAGTCAAACTGTTGCCCAGCCAGGTTCCACACCCCACCTCTCGGCCCGGGAGACGGGGGCTCAGGGACGGACAGGCAGAGGGGACGCAGAGGCAAACGTGTGACCCCGGCACCACCAGGGAGCCGCCACCGCAGGGCCACGTGCGCCGCGTGCAGCCTCGCCCCTGCCCACACCCGGGTCACCCTCGTGGAACCAGGACGAAAGCCTCTCCCGGGCGGGGCGGCCGCGAAGAACAAAGAGAAGGTTCGCAGGCGGCCAGGGGGCGCCCGGACGCGGGGGAACAGGGCCGGTTCTAATTTTACAGAACGGAGCAAGTCTCCTGGCTTGAGTCTAACTGTGAGAGCTCGCGTTCTCTTTGTGTACAAAGGACTCAAAATATTTTCACGTTTTCCTTCTGCCAATTAAATCTGTCGGGGCTCCAAGCGGCAGCGCGGCCAAGAGCGGCTGACTGCCCCACGAGAGGCTCAGACGGAGCGCCAGATGGTGTCAGAGGGGCTGGCGGCGGCGGGGGGGCCTGCAGCCTCCAGGCCTCCCTGCACCGGGGCACCGGGCCCCGCCGAGGCGCCTGGAGGGCCCGCGCTCGGGGCACCTGGGGCCAGGAGGGCGGGCGGCTCGTATCCAGATCCCCATCGCCGCCGCTCACACGGCAGCCGGACAAACGCGCCAACACCGAATGCGGGCGGCAGCACCTGGCCGCCACACAGCCCACACTCGCAGCCTCGGGGGGGCGAGGCCCAGGGAGCGTCTGAGGACAGCCCGCAGAGGGGGCGGCACTCACTGGTCCTCGTTCCGGAAGATCCCCCACACCACGCTGACGGCCAGGCAGAGCAGGGCGAGGAGCAGCATGCGGACCCGAGGGCGCTTGCGGAAGTAGGGCAGGCTGTTGTCGGGGACCCTGGGGGCGGGGGGGCCGTCAGGGGCGGCCGGCTCCTGGCCACCACCAGCACCCAGGGGGTCACCTCACCCCCTGCCCCACTCCCCTGCCTTGCCCCCTCTTCCGCTCCACGTTCCCTATTAACATCGGTCTTCACGCCTTATGGCGTTTCCGGAAGGGAGGTCCCCCAGGGCAGAGCAGAGCGGAGCTGGGGTGGGCACTCAGGCGTGGGCACACCTCAGCCAGCGCCCTGCCCGCAGGAGCCCACCGCCCTGCCTGCTGCAGGCTCCTGACCTCTGACCCTGGACAGCAGCCTGAAAAGGCCTCACCCCACGAGCTGAGCTTTCTGAGCACCCATCCGTCTTCGTCTAAACCTTTCAGCGGTGGGCCGCCGGCCTGTTCAGAACCAGACCAGGCCCCTGGCAGGTGAGCCCCCCGCCCCCGCCCAGGCCTGGACCAGCAGCACCTGCGCCCACATGGCCCTGCCCTGCCACCCCTGCCTGGGACCGACAGGCACCCACGCTGTCCCCACTGGGCCTGAGCTGGAACGGGATGCGGGGAGAGGGAGGCCAGAGAACCACCACCCACGTCCCTGCTCTGCCCTGCTGCTGAGGCCGGGAGCCCCCGCCAGCGCTGAGCGAGTGTGGGATGCCTGCCCACGCCATGCCAGACTGGGGCCACGGGACAGGGAGGGCATCCTCGGCACTGTCCAAGCAGAGCTCGGAGCTTCAGGAACCAGGAGACGGGAGGCCAATGGAGTTGGGCGAGCAGAGCGTGGGTGCCAGGCCGGGCAGGGGCCGCCCACGGGGGCCTACCTGCATCTGCCAAATGGCAGCCTCTGGACCAATGGTGACAGACAGCTGTAGAGGCCCGTGGAGGAGGACAGGCAGAAAATCCCGATGATCACATAGACTGCGGGGTGGGGCAGGCATTGAGGGGCAGGGGCCGCCTGGGGCCCCCCGCCCCCCCGCCCCCAGGAAGAGTTCCGTGGGGCTGTGATGCCACCTGCCCCTCAGGGTGGCCAGCACCCAGTGGATGGGAGGGATGGCTCCCGGCCCAAGGCCCCCTCCTCTGGGCTGGGGATGGCGGCCTCCGTTCACCCCACAACCAAGCAGCTTCTCCGGGGGGACTGGGGCCCGGGCCTCGGTTTCCCCGGGCGCCCCAGGGACGCACCGAGCTGGTCATAGAAGTAGTAGAGCAGCACCAGCATGGAGCAGCACATGACCACAAAGACACAGATCATGACGGGGCTCACGTCCACGGCCTCGTCCTCCTGCTTCTCGGGCCCGTCATCCCGCTTGTGTTTCATGTACCTTCTACGGAGGCACAGACGGGGCTGGGGGATGCCCTGCCGGCTGGCACAGCGCCCAGGGGCCCCGGGACAGGGGGGGACAGGCAGGGCCAAGGGGCACCCTCTCCACACCCACTGCGTGTCCTTGCCACGTTGTCCACAAGAGCACCAGGCCGACCCCAGGGACCTCACGAGACCGTGCAGTGAGGGGCCACAAGGGGGGCCCCCAGCCCCGAGAGCCACAGCCACTCTGATGGAGAGCAACGGGATCCCCTCGTCCAGCGCTGAGACCACCCATGGACCCCATCCAGCACGGACACGTCACAGGCTTCCCTGGGCACTCACTTCTTCACGTCCCGGCTCCCGGCCCAGTAGCCCCCAAGGGCGACGGTGCCGACGGCCATGATGAAGATGATGACCATGTTGTAGTCCAGCATGGGCTCGTTGGGGGCATATAGCGCTGCCCTCACTGCTTGGCCAAAACTCTGCCTCAGAAAACGCACCAGAGCTCAAGGTTAGGGCCGCCGTCCCCTGTCCCCAAGCCCACCCCAGAGAGCCGAGGCCCAGGGAGAGCCTGTCTTGGGGGGACCCCCGGAGCCCATGCTTCACCCACCGCTCCCACCCCAAAGAAATCAACTCTGGCAGAACAAGCTTCCTACGAGGTCAGCTGAGGGGCCCGTGCACACGTGGACACAAGCCCTAAACCAGGACACGCGTGTGCACGCACAGAATGGGGCACGTCGCCTGGGAAGCGTCTGGCTGGCTGGGGAGAGCTGTGGAAGCTGCAGTCAGGATGGAAACGTGCAGACGCTTCCACAAAGACTGAACGTGCCTGTTCTGCTTGTGTCTGGAAGCTCGCTGGCTCCCAAACCAACTCCCCAAACCGTGGGTGAACACGGGCCTCTGGTCAGACAGGCCAGACGTGGGCAGGGTCGGCTGGCCTGGGAGCCAGTGCCCAGCAGCTGCGTGGCGGAGAGGCCCTGGGCGCCCTGACCTCTGGGGCCAGTTCTCCGTTCCCGCTGCTCAGTGGCACCACCAGGCTTTCCCGGGGAGCTGGTGACGAGTGTGACAAGAACCACCCACCCACCAGCCCAGTGGGCGGCCTCGCTCCTGGGTCCCTGCCCACCAGGTACTTACGGCCCTGGACCAGGTGCAGCCTGGAGGGAGCAGGGGGCCCTACCTTGAAGATGTCCAGCATGTCTTTGTGGCTGAGCAGGGCCACGGGAATCCCAATCTCGTCATACTGTGTCTTGTTGCCTCCTGGGGGGACCTGGGGGCCAAGAGGAGGGGGTGTGGGAATGATGGGACGGCTTACCAAGGCCCACCCAGGGTGAGAGACAGGCCCGCAGAGCCAGCCCTCTTGGGGGGGGGGAGCGGAGATGGGGTTTGTGTGTGTGGTGTGTGTCTGTCTGTCTCTCCCCACTGGGGGAGGAAAAGCTCTCTCTTCACTTTTAAGCCTTAGGGTCAGGTCGCTTAGGTGCCAATCTACCCTGGGATGCCACCTGCCCCTCAGGAGGCACCCCCAGAGCTCTGCCCCGAGGCCTTATAGGAGGACAACCCTACAGAACTCCCAGGGCTGCTCTGGGACACGGCCCCTCCAAGAGGATGCGTCCACAGCCACGGTCAGCCAACTCCTGGGGCCCTACCAGCATCTCCTTGCTGACGATGAGCAGCCCGCGGGCCCCGCCACCCTGCGCCAGCCGCACTTTCTCATAGAAGGTGCAGTTTCCCCGGGCCACCAGCGGGATCTGGTTGCTGAAGCCTTTGGCGGGGAGGTCGGGTGCAGAGCAGAGCACGGAGGCCGTCCAGTCCCGCAGCTGCAGGAGAGACTGGGGAGGGTGGCGCTTACACCAGCTAGTCTAGGAAAGAACGGAGGGGCGGGGGGCCCACGTGCGCGCACATTCACACGCCCCTGCACATGCACATTCACACCCATCCATGCGCACACATGTACGAGCATACACATACACACACCCAAGTGCAAGGCAAACAGGAGGGACAGAGGCGGGTGAGTGCTCAGAGGAGGCCCGCTGGGAGACCCTCCCTGCCTCCACGGCAGGCGGGAGCAGTGGCCTGAGGGTGAGAATCACCCACCCACCATGCCACGTGCGGCCAGTCCTCACTCCTCAGGACCCCTCTGCCAGCCAGCCCCGGTCCAGCGTGCGGGGGCTTGGCCAGTGCCCCTGGCGGGGGCCATTCCTCAACAACATCTTCTGTTGGATATCTTTTGTTTCTGACCAAGGAAACCAAGGCCCAGAGAGGCCATCTGAGATCCCAGCAGCCCCTGGAGTGTGACCCCCACATTGGTTTCACAGCTGAGGCCCTTCCTCTGTCCTCCAGCAGGCTCCCTGCAAGATGAGACATCTAGCAGCCCCTCCAGGGACTAGGCTGGGGAGCAGAGGGGTGGCAGTCAGCAGGACAGACCCGACCCCAAGTCCAGAGGGGGCACCCCAGAGCACCTCCAGGCCTGCCAGGCCCACAAGGAAAGACCCCAGTGGGAAGACCCTCATGAGGAAGGGCCCCAGCGGGCACTCACCGCTTTGCCAAGGTCATGTGGCAGGTGGGCCCACTGTGGGTTGTAGAGAATGCAGTAGTCTTTGCCTTTGGGGCCCCCTGCCTCGGAGACCACGTGCACCATGCCGTACTCACAGGCCACCTGCAGCAACAAGGCAGCGGTCAGAGAGCTCGGCAGAAGCAGCTGGGCCTGAGCCAAACAAGGACACCCCCCGCCCAGGGTTTGGGCTGGTTTCCGCCCTCCTACAGGACAGATGGGACACCAGCAGGCATCTTATGGTGGAGAAAACAAGGCAGGGCAGCCAGGGCAGGAACGTCTTCCCCAGGGAGACCCGGGTGCTGACTGCGCCGTCAGGTCCCCTCCCTGTTGCTCCCACGGCAGGGACAGCACCACCTCACAGGGCCCTCGCGGGATGGACGGCACAGGGAGAATGAAAACCCTGTGGCTCTGTCACGAGGAGGACACGGTGAGCCTGCAGATCCACCCCCAGGCCTAGGTGCTGGCTCGAGGCCAGGAACACAGGGCAAGGCCTGCCAGGCCTGGAAACTTCCTTGCCCCTGACCCGCAGGCTCCTGGAAAGACTACCTATTGGCCACTAACTGCTGAGGCCAGCCGGCTCCGTGTGCCACACCTCACTTTCCAGGGAAACCTCGGAGCCTTGGTCACATGACTGGCCCCTGCCAGGCACAGACCAGTGGGATCCCAGTGGGGACCGACCGCGGGTTCGGAGGTGTGGCAGGAAGTAGGCGGTCTGCAGGGCGGGCGGCTCTGGGGCTGGGAACTGTGAGACTTCACAACAGAGAAAGAGTCATGCAGACACCAACAGGGCACGGACAGCTCTCTCCCCAGGACCCCGAGCCAGCGAAGCCTGTCTCCCCACCCAGCCCCGGCTTCCCAGAAGGAGGAAGGGGCAGCTAGAGCATCATGGTCCCCCACAGGGGAGCTGGCTGCTCGGGAAGGGCCACACCCAGAGGGTCAGGAGGACCCAGCAAGCTTTGTCTGACTTCAAAGCGAGGCACAGGGGCAGGACCCACAGTTCTCGAAACACTGGATAACCCTCAAGGACAGTGGGATGGCTGGGGGCCTGGGACAGAGGGGCTGACTCTCATCTTTTCTGTTGAACACCAGCTTAATCTCCGTGAAAAACCGTTGTTTCATACAAAGGTGTCCCCACTCCCTGCTCACCCACATCTCCTGCCTGAACCACTGCACCCCTCCCTAGAGCTGCTGCCTGGCTGGCTGGCGGACGGGAGTGCAGGGGGCCCTCTCCCACCTCCTCCCCTACCCTGGGCTCGGGCTGGGGCAAAGGACCCCCCACAAGCACAGCCTTCGTCCTCGGATTTCGTCAACAGCGGGTCACACAGCATTTGGGGCCCAGGTCTTGGTGGCTCTGCCCCTAGGCAGGCTCACCCCAAGTCTGAGTAGCTCCTGGGGGCCTGCTGAGGGAGGGGGTCTCAGGAGAGAAGCCCGGTGCTAGGAGCCGAGGGGGTCAGTCCAGCCACCACTCCCCCAGGGGGCCCTGCAACCTGGCCCGGAAGCCTGCTCTGCGCACCTTGGGCTCCTGGGGCCCATGTAGCTTGCGCTCTCCTTAGGCTGCAAACGTCCAAGACTAAGATGGGAAACCCCCTCCTTGGAACCCCAAGAATCTGCCAAGGAGCCAAACAGCTAGAGCTGCTTGCCTGACACAGATGCCTGATAGGGTCCAGCCAGCACCGTAAGACACATGCCTCGCCGTGGGGGCAGAGCGTGCAGCTGACTGGGCCCGAGGGTCCTGATGGATCGCGGCCCCCGACACCAGGCCTGGGGCAGTGACCGGCTTCCGTTCAGCCAGACCATCGGTGGAAGCTCAGCAAGGCCCCGGCCACTCCAGGAGCTTCTCACCCCACCCTGGTCACGCTGCTGTGGCGGCAGCATGGAGACCCCAGGGCATCCCAACCCTGTGGCTGGCAGGCCGACAGGGGTGCGGGGTGCGCGCCCTCGTCCTCTCCAGGGTCCCCGACCACCACTCTTCCGGCGGGCACCTCTGATCTGACGCCATGGCCTGTTGCCTCGAGGGAGGCATTGAACGCCTCGTGCACTGCTGGGGGTGCGCGGGGAAGCCATGCTCATGCACTGAGCTCCCAGAACCCAGGTTTGCGAGGGCAGGGCCGGACGCGGCCCGAGGCCAACCAGGGGTCTTGGAGCACCTCACAAAGGCCGCGCCCTTCCGCCACCCGCCCTGGCCAACCTCCAGGCACCTCACGTGTCACCTCACTCCCTCCACCAGAGGCAGCATTAGGAGTCCTCTCTTCCATTCTCCCCACCAGACTGCCCCCCAAGGGCACCCCCAACCTGGCCCTAAGTGCTCTACCTGGCTGTACACCCCTTCCAAAGGGTCACCCCATGCTCAGAACCCCTGGCGCCTCCTTACCATGGGCCATTGTGGGGAACAGAGGACCGCTCAACCCAGAGGCCTCGTGCAGCCCACCTCCTGTGCTTCTAAATAAAGTTTCACTGGAACACAGCTGCCCCATTCCCGTATGCAGGGCCTCTGGCGGCTCTCAGGACTCCTACAGAGCTGCGTGGTTGCGACAGAGATCACTTGGCCCAGAAAGACTCACTGTCTGGCCCTTTTCAGGACACTGCTGACCCCTGTTCTGTGGGATCCAGGTTGTGGGGGAAGTGTCGTTTGTGTAAAACGGGAATGCACAGAAGCTGCTTCTCTTTAAAAAGGTCATTTGAGAGTGCAGAAGCCCACCTCATGGACCCCTCTCCCCACAGTCTGCACAACCGGCTTCCCATTAGGAAATCAGCCTGTTCTTATGTCAAATGCCAGAGTATGGTTTCCTCCCCCGCAGAGTTAAAGGGATCAGAAGTTCTTCAAAAGGACCCAGTGCTATTCAGTCCAGCATGGCCCATCCCAATCTGGAGAGCCAGAAATCACTGGGACTACCAGACAGGCCACCTTCTGACACATCACAATCGCCAAGCAGGTTCAGGCACTTCTAGGGAAACCATGCTTCGGGGAGACCATGCAGGCATTCCACATCAGGCGGTTTAAGAAAAGCTAATGAGTCCAGGCTGGAAGCAGTCGTCCTTCTAAGACTTGGTAAGTTCTAAAAGAGGGTGGAGAAAATAAGAACCCAGGAAGCTTGGAAAGAGATGTTGAGGCAGAGGACGGGCAGGGACAGGTGGAGGAGTTGGGAGGCGGCAGGTGTTAGAGGGGCAGAGGGGACAGGTGGAGGAGGAGGAGAGGTGGAGGAGGGGCAGAGGGGACAGGTGAAGGAGTGGAGAAGGGAGGAAAGGGGTGGGAGGGCACTAACGTGACTTCAGATCTGCTGAGTGACAGCCTCCACCACTGTCTTTATGTGCACATCTTGTAGCCACTGGGGAGACCCGTATATTTGGGGAATCCCTCTCCCAGGGTCACAAAATGGTAGCAAATGAATTCAGGGCTGCCCACAAGCAGCGTCCCAGCCAGTGGAAAGCTAGTCTTATTCTCAGGCACTGGGACCCAAACTTCCACAAAGAACCACTCCCACCCACCACAATGCCGTCTGTCCTATCTCGGGGCAGACAGACACACGGGCCCGGGCTCTGTTCTGGGAAGAACCAGCTGAAGTGCTCTCATCACATGCTCTGACACCGTCCTCTGCTTGCACACAGGACAAAGTTCAAAACCCTCAGCCTGCCCAGGAGCACCATGAGCCTTCCACCACCTGCCTTTGATCTGCCCAGCCCAGCCCAGGGAGGCCACAGATTGGCCTGCCCTTTACCCTCTTCCTGGGAGCCACTCCTGCTGCCCCCTCCCTGTGCCCTTCAGCTGAAGGGGCAACCCCAGCTCCCTTCAAGTGCACCTGAGGGCCTCCTTTGGGGTGTCATCTTTCTCAGGGTGTAAGCATTATACCACCCTGCATTACTAGCCAGAGTGGACTCCTCACCTGCTCAAAGTAAGTCGTCAGCTCTCACACCTTCACCCCTGTTCAAGCTGCTCATCACCCGCAACACCCTCCCTCTGCCTTCAAGACCTGGCAAACTCCTGTTCATCCTTCAGAACACCCCTGAAGTGCCCCTGCTTCCACAAAGCCTTCCCAGGCAAACTGGGTCACTCCCTCCATGGTGCTCCCGTTACCCTGTGTCCACTTCTCATTTTGCTCTCTTTCAAAATGTCCCTGCCCTCCTTGACTTGCTTAGGAAAATGAGGGAGTAGGGTTGGGGGAGGTACGGAGGCTTGGCCAAGAGCTGGGGAAGGGGCAGCCCAGGGAACTTGTCCGGGGGTGGGGGACGGAAAAACAACTAAGTTGAGACCAGAAAGATGACCAGGGGCATTCCAGGGACACGGGGAAGACCAGAGAGCAGAGTGCCTTCAGCAGACTAGAAACGGAGGGGAAGCTTCCCAAGCAGCCAAACCACAGAGACCTCCCACATGCACTGGACGCAACAAGACCTGACACACTTTCAAACACATCACTCCTGCTGTGTCGGGAACAGACTGGGGACGTGGGAGAGCACCAGCCACCGGAGGCTATGGTAGAGAGGTGGGGGGCTGGGGTGGGCAGGTCAAGGTGAATGGCTGCGTTCGCAGGGCTTAACGTTAGGGACACCGTTCCCAGAGCTGCATGACACAGGGGAGAGGCAGGGAGGGCCTGCAAATAAAAGACGCGCTCATGATGATGTAGGTCCATCAGCCGGCTGGTGGCAGACCCCCCACTAGCCCCGGAGACCCTTACCTTTAAGTGCCCAAGAAGGAGCACGCTGCACATAAACCACCCCATGTGCATCACCTCGCTGGGTCCTCACTGTACTCTTCCTTTTGCAGATGAGCCACTGCCACCCAAACGGGGGACCTCCCTCGCCCAAGGTCACCGGACAGAATATGGGGCGGCCATCCGGCCCCACTTCCAGGGATGGGCTCCTGGCCGCTCCCCGAGGCTGCCAGGCACTGGGCGCCGTGCCGGCCGGCTTACCGCAACCACGCAGGCGGGCGCTAACATCGCGCGAAAGGGGAAACTGAGGCTCGCAAATGGGCAGCCGCCTGGCCAAGACCACGCAGCCAGGCAGGGGCGTCCCCGGCGGCGGTTGGACACCTCGAAACGGAGCAGGACTCCCAAACTCCAGACCCAGCGCAGCTGCGCGACGCTGCAGCTGGGGAGGGCTGCAAGGCGGGGAAGACACAGTGGCCGGGGACAGGCCCGCAAGGTCACGGCCCGGCTCCCGGCCCGGGGGCCACCCGCGCGGGGGGCGCGCAAACCCGAGGCTGGCCCCCAGGCCAGGCCGGGCGGGGCTTGCGCTGGGCCCGGGGCAGAGGGGCCGGGGCCGCAGCCGGGGGGCCGGCGGGGCCGACGCAGCCTCACCTGGGCCGCGAGGAGGAGGAAGGCCGCCGCGACCCGCGCCAGCGCCGCCGCCGCCGCCATATCCGCCGGTCCGAGCCGCAGGCGTCGCCAGATGTTTCCCAGCAACGCCCCGGCGCGCCCGGGCGCGCCTGCGCCGTGTGAGCTCCGCGCCTGCGCGCGGGGGAAGGGTCAAAGGGCGCGCGGCGGCGCCTGCGCAGAGCGGCGCGGTGCGGCAAGATGGCGGTGAGCGCGCGGCGGGGCCGGCAGGGCGGGCGGCGTGGGACCCGGCCGCGCTCTGCGCCTCACGCGCTCTGCTTCCCCTGCAGGACAAAGAGAAGAAGAAAAAAGAGAGCATCTTGGACTTGTCTAAGTACATCGACAAGACGATTCGGGTGAAGTTTCAGGGAGGCCGCGAAGGTGAGACCCCGCCGCCCGCACCCCGTAAGCGGTCGCGGGTGAGCGACGGCGGAGGAGAGGACGGTGGCGGATGCCTGGGCGCCGCCTTGAGCGCTTTGCTCGGGGAACTCGAGCCAGCCTCCTACTCCGCCGAGGGCTTCGGGGCTGTGCCTCGCGTTGCGCACGCGGGGAAACCGAGGCACGGGAAGGGGTCCGAACAACGCAGAGCCGCTTGGTGCAGCCGGGCCTGGGATCCCGCCTGGCCTGCTGTGCGCTCCTCTCCCCGAGTCCTCCGCGGACAGCTGCCCCAGCTGGTCACCGATGCCCCTGCAGCCGGGCTCCTGGGGCTCCGCGCTCGTGGCTTGGGGCCAGAGGGCTCTGGTTGCGAGGGCCGTCCGGGGCGCTCGGGGCTGCTGAGCAGCAACCCTGGATGCCCCTAGATGCCAGGAGCATCCCTGAGGTTTGACAACGCAACCGGGCCTTCCGCGGTTGAGACCGCGGCCCTACAGCCGGTCTCTTAAGTGTGGACCAGACGGACCTGCTAAACACAGATGGACTCTCCTCGTGCGCCGTTCAGCCCCTCCAGGCTCCGCGCCGTCGGAGGGGAAAGGACAGCCTGTGTGTCTCTGAGGAGCACGTGAGCCCTCAGCTACCGCAGGGCTGTGAAGTGGCTCTGCCTCAGTGCTCCTGTGAGCTCTGACTCGCCGCCACCGGTGTTGCAGTAGAAGACCTTGGTGGCTTTTTCAGCTAATCCCGAGTCAGACAGCATCCCACGTAGCCGGACGGGCGCTCCCGGAGCCATACGGGCCGGGAGGTTTTTGTAGGCAGGAGGCTGCAGGAACAGGCAGAGTGGATTGTTCCCGGCATGGTCACCCTCCTGGGGGGATGGTGGAGGTGTGTCAGGAAGATCAGCTCCCTAGCGCCTGCCGGAAATCCCACATCGATTGGTTGAGATTGCGGCTCTGGGAGAGCTGAAGCTGCAGTTAGGTTAGGTCTTCAGTGTTGGTTTGGCACAGGTGACTCCGTTTGGGGCCTGAGGTTAACTCCAGAGTCATTTTCCTGCTCTCAGCTCAAGGTTCTTGCTCCGGGAAGCCTTCCCCGACCCGCCACCGTGGGCCACGCCCCTTTGGTGTAAGCTCCTAGTACCGTCTGTCATGGTTCCCCGTTTTATGCAGGTAAACAGGACACTGAACCCTGCATCTTCCCCTGAAACGTGGTGAGGAGAGGGCAGGAACGAGGCCCGGTGTTGCTCATGCTTATAGGCAGCGTGGCCTGGGCGTGGCGGCCGCCCTCAGCCTAGGCTCTGGGGTCAGAGCCCCAGCTCTCTGGCACACTGCCTGTGGGACTTTGGGCAGCTTACCTTCCGTAGGGCTCTTTCTTCATTTCTTCACTCCGCCGACCTCACCGGGCCTTGAGGGCTACAGGGTTGGAGGCATGCTTAGCATGGTTCCTGACACCAGCAAGCCCTCGAGCAACATTTCATTTCTTCAGCTGCCTCTTTGATCTTCAGTGTGTTTCCTGAGACAGCGATCCCGAGCTGCGGGTGATTGGGTGGCACTGGTGGGGTTAAGAGTGTGGTGCCTGCAAGTGTAGGTGGCTGGCAGCAGTGAGAATTCAAACCTGAACGAATGTTTGCTCTGTCTGCACCGCGCCGGCTCTCGGACACGAGAACGAGACGCAGCTCTTGTTCCTCAGGGTGCTTGTATGGGCCTTCTATGCCGCATAGCAAGTTGCCGCCACTTTAGCAGCTTGAACAACACGAATTTACTGTCGTGTGGCGTCTGTAAGGAAGGAGTCTGGGTGTCTGGGGCTCCAGGTCTCACAGGTTGCAGTAAAGGAGCGTCTAGGAGCCTTGTCTCAGGCCCAGGGTCTTCCTCCCGCCCTGCTGGTTGTTGGCAGAATTCAGTTCCCTGTGGCTGTAGGACTGGGGTCCCCGTGTCCTAATGCAGGTGTCCAGGGACTCGCGGCTCTTAGAGGCTGCCTGCCAGCCTGTGCCCAGCATGGCAGTTTGCTCCCTCGGGGCCAGCAGGAAAATCCTTCCCATGCTTCCAGTTTCTTCTTTTACAAAATTCCTATTCCCTTAACAGCTTATCTGATCAGGTCAGGCCCACCGAGCATAGTCTCTCTTTAGAGGAGCTGAAAGTGCGCTGGTTCTGGGACCTTAATCACATCTGCAGATTCCTTCGTCTTCCTCGTCCTATAACCCACTTACAGGAATGACGTCCCATCATATTCACAGGTCCCCTCCCACAGGTGGTCACTGGGGTGGGGGACATTGGCTTGTGCCCCACTGGGGAGGACAGACCCACAGGTGCCCACTGCTCATAACCCCATCGGGTGTCCTCGTGACCTTTGTTTTGCAAGCAGGGAGAGAGGAAGCCACAGAGCCAGGGGCTCCAGCCCAGCAAGTCAGGCTGGCAGACGTTTTCCCAAAGGGCCAGACGGGGTGTTTTCAGCTTTGTCGGCCAGACCGTCTCTGTTGCAGCTGTCACGTCTGCCCCTGGAGCAGGAAAACAGCCACAGACCGCGCGTCAGCACGTGACCGCGGCTGTGAGCCGGCCAAGCCACTCAGAGAAGTGCCTCTGCTGGTTTTGGCCCACGGGCTGTAGTTTGCAGACCGCACCCTACACCAGTGGGGCTGCCGGTCACGTCCAGCCCCGTTCTCGGTGCAGACCCTACAGCTGCAGTGACTCGGGGGGATGCCTGCTTCCACCAGCTGTGCCTGGGATGGGGAGGCCTGAGCAGCTGCGGGGGGTGCTTTCAGGGCGCATCACACGGCAGCGCCGGTCGGTGCACCACTCCTTTCCGTGTGGGCGTAGGCCATGGCTCGTGAGCTGGGCACAGTTTTTAACAATTCTAAATATTTGAAAAAATGAGACGATTATTGCACGTTTCTGTACCCGTAAGTAAAGTTTTATCGTGGCACAGCCTCACCTGAGTGTCTCCATGTCCTCTGGCTGCCTCGCCCCAGGAAGGCAGCGCGGAGTAGTTGCTGTGGAGACCACGGGGCCCACACAGTTGAAACGTGCACCAGCTGGCCCTTTGCAGGAGACGTTTGCGACCACGTTGTGGTCTGGGTGGTTTGGGGTCGTCCTCATGGCTCCCCTCCTGGAGCCCCTCCCTCACTTCCCTCCCGGTGCCCCTTCTCTCCCGTCCCTGCAGAGGCTGCTCCCCACATCTGCACCTTCTGGGGGTGAGCCTGTCTCTGTGCACCTGTCCCCAGAACAACTGCTTATCTAGCGCCTTTCCGTTTCTCTCCTCGGTGGTGCCTCCAAGCCAGCGGCATCCTGAAAGGGTTCGACCCACTGCTCAATCTCGTGCTTGACGGCACCGTGGAGTACATGAGAGGTGAGCACGCCGTGGGGCTCGGAAGCTCCTCGCTGGGCCCTTTTTACTGCCCCAGACCCACCGAGCTGCCCCTGTGTGAGGGACACGGTGCTTGTGAACCAGATAGCTGGTCTCCCTCGTCTCCTGCTGTCCCCACGTGGACCCTCTGCTGCTAACAGAGGGTCCTGGTCCCTGTCACCCCAAGTCCCCAGAGCCTGCGCAGCAACGTACAGTGGTTGGGCCGGCACCTGCCCATCTGCCGACACGATCTGCAGCTCAGTCCGCCTGAGGCATTCAGGGGACACCCAGACCTGGGAGGGAGGCAGGGTCCTGGCTCTCGGGGACTCTCTTTGTTACACCTCAGGGGACACCCAGACCTGGGAGGGAGGCAGGGTCCTGGCTCTCGGGGACTCTCTTTGTTACGCCTCAGGGGACACCCAGACCTGGGAGGGAGGCAGGGTCCTGGCTCTCGGGGACTCTCTTTGTTACTCTGGTGACAAATTCACAGGGCCACCAAAGAGGTCTCTTGGTGGGGGAAGCATGGTCACGGCTGAATGGCCAGTGCCGCCAGGCCTCTTGCTTTGCCCTCAGTTTCTTCTCTCCTGTCTGGGTCCGCCCAGACGCCCTGCTTG